GTCAACAATTAAATGATTTGATTTAAAAATGCTTAACTATTGTCCCAATGGGAAAATCCGTGTCAATCATGGCACCGGAAAAAACAAGAAATCTACAATTATTCAGTCACATACTCTTTATTATAACTCTCACAGTTTCCATGCTACAGTCTTCAAATTTTTAGGAGTTTCAGATTACGATCAGATACAAAATATTTCAAAGTGTCATTAAAAAATTTCTGTTTTATGCTTATTAGGGTAACTTCCATTAATGAGGTCATTTCCAAACAAAAGCCTCTAGATGTACAGTTGCAAGTTGACAAGAAGAAATACTCCCAGCTAGCAAGTCAAAACTAATACCTGAATCACTTTAGATGGTTGCTTTCATAAAATAATTTTTAGTGAGTTTTGATTAGAAGCAAAATGTGCAAGTGAGGCTAATGGCCCAAATATGAATGCATTCACTTGTATATATATAATCTGTCTTACCTCTTACGATCTCCGCTGCACAATGTTGGCATAAGTGTTACATCTACATACAGACAGTCCTGAAAACAACCTGCACTTCACAAATAATTATATAATTATTTCTGCCAAATATGCTAATTATGTGTTTCCAACTAACTGTATGTTTGCAAATATGTTCATCATGTATGATGGTGATGTATGTTTACAAAATCTATCATGGCTGTTATTGAATAAACAAACATGATGTTTTGACATTCTGTATAGGGACTTACACTTGTCAAATAATGGAATACTGTCTCACTGCATACTTGTAGTAGAAGAATATTCCATATTACACCGAAAAAGCGGATCGGGCAAATCGTGCACATGTAATGCCCCCCTCCCAACCTACGCACAACAAATTTACGCACGCCCAGAAAAATGTTTTGCTAAACCAAGGCCACTAAACTTCCGTAAAATTAAACAAATTACATATTAACGACGCCAGACCTAGATTTCTTACTACGGTTGTGCACACTGTATGAACAGTTGGAAGATACAGGTACCTTAAAGTTAGATGTGCTGGTCAGTTACCTTGACATACCCACATAAACTCATAAACATCACAGACTGTCCAGCCACCAGGAACAAAGGATTATGGCATGGCATCGGAACTTCCGGTCATGATATATTGTGATCTGGACATACTAGGGTCATAAATTTTGATAAAAAGCACTTTTGCCTATAAAGAAGTGACATTATTTTGAAACCCCTAGTGGTTTGTTTCGGAACTGCAGGAGTTGTATTTTTTAACATTCAAACGAGGATAACTCTAGAACAGGTTGACAGACTTTTTTGGTAAGTAAATAGATGAAGGGATGCGTTACACAATTAAATTAGAAGATATTAATGCGAATCAGGATCTACGCGTTTCGTTCGATAATAGTACTATGAAACATCTGCATCATGTATTTGTTTTAATGACAGGAGAATCGACAGGTATCTATCATGTAAATGAAGACCTCATTTGCATACTTGTCGCATTTCGAATTGTGTGAATGTAAATGTAATTAAACATACTTTGTCTTAATCAGTATCTCATTTTACTAATATATGAGGAAATAGTTTATAGCAATCTTCATTATGATATACTTAATGAAAATATGACTTGATAAATGTATAATTTGTCAGTCGGAAGTGTTAAGATCATTTGGCGACGGTATATGGTTGTCGAGCTTGTTTTGAAGTTTGTGAAATCTTACTTTTTAATGGATGTCCCTTCTAGTTATGAGAGGCACTAGTTCAACTAATGCAATTTTATTTCTTACTGTCACAATGCAGATCCCAACAAGAACAAAACACTGACACGAGATTTCGAAAGAAACATTTATACATAGTGTTACAAGTAACAAACAAATAAAGTTACAAAACTAATCAACCCTGCACAACAACAGGTAATATTGAATCCTGACCTACAGCTAGATTCGTAAGCGGTGCTTATATTGGTGTCAGCTTAAATCACTTTGTTTTACTATTGAGTTCAAAAGAACTTTTAATTAATTGTTACTGAAAGAGTACGCAAGGTTTTGAAATATGGATGCTTCGAACCCATGGACATTTATCATGACTTGTTACAAACGTAAAGTTCTGAAATTAGGGTAGATATAACATATCGTTCAAAGAATCATTCACGAAAATGCATAAATTCAATAATAGCTCAATCATAGAATATTGTTAATGTATCTGAAAAACATTGCCAATTAGGAGCATTAATATGATAAAACGTACATATATATTTTACATCCAGTCATTAAATAAAGTAATAAATATAATATAAATAGGGTTTTGCTCAAGAATTTGAGGACGCCTCTGTACCTTTCGGTAGGAATGAAATCAAATTTGACTTAAATTTGACTTACAACCAAGCCCTGACCTACTTCCGACCACCAGCCAACCATCGCCGAACCTCCCGTCCCCACCCCAACATTTTTAATCATTTGGCTGGCACAGTAGCCAACCTCGCCAAACACCAGCCAACTACAGCCGACCTTATAATTAGTTCCAAATTACTCCCAACCAGGGTTCTTTGCGGCTAGTGTTCGGGACGCCATATTCGACTATTAAAAGGAAGTAATACTATATAGAAGGCTCCATGTATTGTACATGACGTCTGGTTCAGTTCCTATGCCCGGAGCACCTTCCACATGTGTACTTTTTCTTGCGTCTTTCTTCAATAAAACAGCAGGCCATGTGAAACACCTGGTGACATTTCTTACACTTAATCAGTCCTCCAAGTCTCTCGCCTGCGAAGCCTCGCCGGCAGCGGCAAACCAAAGTGATCCGGTGATCCGAGCTGGATCGCCCGCTGGGGATCCAACGGACTCGAGGGAAGGGTGTCAGGTGACGACGTTTGAAGCAGTCCAGGAGATGGGCTCTCATCTTGCTTTCGTCGTACCAGACCTGGGCCACATCCGTCCCCATCGCGATGTCTACCGCCCACGCTATGGCAAACAGTCCGCAGGTACTGCTGCTACTCTGCAGCTGCACACGTGGTAATTTGACAATTAGTACATCGGTGTCCAAGTTGGAGACTGGCTGGTAGCACTGACACAACTGGTACTCCAATGAATCATTTATTCCACTGGGGATACTGTTATACACACTGACATGTCCACCTATGGAGGACGAGACTACCCAGTGGAATTGGCCGGTGTGGTGAATCTGTAGACCTTCTCCGGAGACCCGTGTGTATCCGTACGAAGACGCTCCTACTGCCGTATCTTGTAGTCCTCCCAATCCTGGATACTGACGGCGGAGTAACATCTGTGCGGCATGGATGTGTTTGTCTGTCAGCACCTCATCACTAAGGAGTACGGCCTTGTCTTCAGCGGTGAGCCTTAGATCGGAGATCCACACGTTTCTTGAAGGACATTGTGCTGATTCTTGTGTACCAGTCATTGTATGATGTTTCTCATATGAAGCTGCTGCAACCTGGGCACACTGGGCCACCTCCTGCACACCTGCTTCGGCCGTACTGCGGTTCATCCTCGAAAGGATATCTTCGATTTTCTTGGTCTGCACTCTCACTTCTGTTAGTAGTTTATTCTCTGCCATTTGTTGGTACGATTTCTCTTCTTTCTCATATTCTTGCATCAGGGTTTGGATTTCGGTGTCAATGTCAAAGTCCTTTACGTTGACGTTATCCGGGTTTCCAGACGTAAGAGCGACGGCTTGTACGTCCATGATGGCATATGCATCCTCCTCGTCAATCGTTGCTAGTTTATGTTCTCTGCAGATGACTTTGTAAGAAGCGTTAAAACGGCCATACTTCAGAAGGTTAAGCACGTCTGAGGTCGGGCTACTCTTCTGTTGACGTGAAGGCGGTGGCAGGATGGAGTTGCAGATGTCCAGACTTTGGTCAAGTTTGTCCCGGATCATGCATATGTTGGCTTTCAACTCCTCCATCTTTAGTACACCTTTGAAAAAAGACAAGAAGACGCCCTTCATATTTCCGCCAATAATGATTGAAAACGAATACAACACAAAATTGATATATAATTAATATATGTTTACATGGGATTGTATGTCATGGACGAATCATTATTGCATATTCCTGCAAAAGTGGACTGAATAAATGTGGGCTGCGTTTTGAAGTTTTGGATATGTGGTCTAGAGGATAAATACACTTTGACACTGCATTCTAACGCTAAGTCTATTTATCAAAACTACACCGTGTACTACTCTTCTTTTACTGTTAATACCTGATAGTGTTATTCCTTTTTAACCGCTTCAAATGATGTGTGCAGTTTCACATCTAAAAAAGAAAAGAAAACGTTCATCTAATGAATGATGTACTTTGCTTAACTCACCTGGTTTATCCTCCTTATCCGGCGTGCTGTGTAACCCCAACATAGCCCGGAAACTCCTCCAGATGTACTCAGCAAGTTCAGAGTCGTGGGTGACGTCAACGTCAGCGGAAATGGCGTCACAGACGATGGTCATGAGGAAGTTCATCAGGAGGATGAAGATGCAGATCATGAAGGAAGAGAAGAAGATCGGCCCGGTGAGAGGGTTGGAATCCACCATGTCCTGGGCGAAGAACCTTGAATCAAAACACACAAGTAGGTTCACCATGAGACAACGTCCTTGACAGTAATACGTGATAAACATTAATAACACGATATGCTTCATACTTAAATGTAGAAATTAATACCGTTACGCTTTCTTTAATAATACTGACCTGCCAAGCATCATCTCGAAGAGTGCAAACATTGTATGGTACAGGTCTGTGTAAGATTCCATGTGGCTTCCAAAGATGAGGTGTCCTGAAACCAGGAACATGGCAAAGTGTCAACGTTGGTCAAAATGTAAAGGCAGCAAAGATTCGGCGTAAACATGATGAGTTTTTTGTTATAAGAAACTAGACCTTGTAAAACCAACACTGTGTGTGGGTGGTTGTTTGGTTCATTTAATATTATGGAAGTAATATAGCGATTGTACGTCCTGCTCTCAACATCACATGGAAATTTCCAACAAAGAAACTGCTGTATGTGACTGCATTCCCACCTTTCATATGTCAGGTTTACTTGTGAAAGAAAATTAAAGTTTGCGAAGAAAAATACTGATTATGATCCATGTTCTGCTATCGGCTCAAATCAAGATCATGCAATAGTAGAAAGACAGATGGGACCGCCTTGTATAAACTTTCAAGATGCATGTTGGGGAACTCTTGGAGAATTGGAAAGAGAGAGATGCAAACAAGCAACTAGCTCGGTAAGACCATGATGATGATGACATAATTCATGACTTCGTACCTGAACTGACAAAGGCCATGAAGGCAACGGCAGCAACAACTAAGAAGGACAGGAGCTCGTCCTTCATGATACCGGGGATGGCCAGCAGTTTGCCAACCGTTTGACTGAAGCGGACGACGCGAAGTAGGGTGATGGTGTTGATGAAGACAACAAGGCCCAAGACGTGCTTGAAACACGCATCCCACCACAAGGCAGCAGTCAGGTCAAGAAATCGTACAAACCCAAGGTCACCTGATAGATGAAAGAAACGCATGAAATCTTAGAGGTACTTTCAGTAACGAAAAGATGGATTTACCGATGGTTGAAAATGCAAGTAAAGCCGGGCAATGTTTTCGTTGCATAGAGTTGAGTAAAGTTTATCTTGTAAATAGTACCGGACATTAAAGCAAAAATAAAACACAAACATTGCCCGACTTAACTGGCATATACTATCATTGGTAAAGCTAACTCTTCGCGCAGTGTAAGCGTCTTACGCAGCTAAGTTCAAATAATCAAACTTAAAATTCAAATAAAGGGGTATTATATAAATATCAAGCTTATCCTTTTCTTAATTCAATTCCTGCATTAAGAGACTTATCATGTTTATCGGAAAGCTAGCGTACCGTTGCTTGTGGCGACCATTGCAAGTGTCTCAGATGCCACGACATATCGCTTGATGAAGACAGAGATTGCTGTTGCTGTACCGATGAGGCTAACACATCCGAGGACATTCCACTTCGAAGTGAAATACTTCCATCCCATGTCTTCCATTCCTTTCACCTCCCTAAAAAGCACCACTAAGAAGATAAGTGTGAATAGAATGTGCATGAACAAGTCCACATAGTCGGCATCAGTTTCGTATTGAAATAGTTTGAAGGAGGTGATTGTTGATGTTGGTACAAGATGCCCTACTCCGGAACGATCCAAGATCAGGTTCACAACGCTGAACAGCTTCAGGCTGGGGTTGTAGAAGTTGATGTCGATTACCACGGATCGTGTGTATTTGTCGAAAAACTCGTTGTCTCTCAAGGCACTGAGGAATGATACAGCGGAGCCATGATCCACAGGAACGTCAAAGGAGTGGCGAGTCGTGCAACGGTTGATGTCGTTTGGCTGAGTTAACTGGTCCCGAATCCTGAACCGCCAACAGTTACCAGACCCGTTCCCCTGCAGAAAGCTCCAACCGAGCTCATCACTAGACGTCCTCGCCATGGTGTCTGTAAGTATATAAGGGTAGAAGATATTCGTTTAAAAACGTACAGTAAACTGGCGTTTCAGTCAAACATATGTACAGAGGACAGGGAAACCAGCATCTTACGCTTGTAAATTCCTCTCCACAACAAATAATAAAATATTATACAATACTACCACAACATAATAAAAATAAGTAGCCAAATTGAACAATAATAAACTGCAGGAAATGGTCTATGATAGTATGATGTAAAAAAACTACATTTCATTGGTTGCTATAAGGTTTACAATAGACGAGATAATGTTCAGTCTTTGAATATCAAAGGTCTCCGTTAGTCGCCGAAAATGTGTTCATGTAAACCAGAAGAACGCGGCAATTTTAGGAAATACCTGGAAGTTGTCTAATTTGTGTCAGCCGTGGTGGACCGACGCGGAAGGATCCCGTGTTGTGTGCAAACTGTCGGTCTAAGTACTTCATGTTCTTTCCGTTGTACCAGGTGGTTGGGTAAAGGGTCGGCATCCACACGTCCTCAAGCCAACTGTAAAACTGGTCCGGGGTTTTGATCTGTGGGCAAGGCAATATAATGTCAAGATATATTATATGGTTCGTATTAGATGCAGGGTGATTTTATTTGCAGTCATGCCCGAAGACTAATTGCATGTAGTGTCAAAGAAAGTAACTCAGTAGGAAACATATATCTACCGTCTGTTCATCTATGATTCTGAAAGAAACATAATATTCAAACATACGTGTTTCCGATAGACTTCTATCAAAACAGATGAACTTTCAAACTGAAGGCTATAGTAGAAGCGAGTCATCTGCTTACCGCATCATATTCTTGCAGAATATTGTTGGACAGTGACTGTCTCTCATAGACGGCATGTTGGTCTTTGTCCGCCTGGGCGATGTAGAAGAGGAGGACCACGAAGACAAGCAGCAGAAGAAACTCCTTCAGTACAGAAGCTGACTTCTTACCCAGCTCCTTCTTCTTCCTGGCCGATTGACCATCAGGCTTTACAGGTGCGTAAATCTTCTTCGGTGCTATGATTTAAAAGATATGATTAGACAACAGAAATGCACGTCTTTGTCGTTTTGTCAAAATGTCGTTTTCATTTTTTTATTTTCATTTATTCCCTAGTTCAGGTATTTTAAAAGCCATTCAAAATGTTAAAAGAATACACGCTGAATGTATATACAGGAAAAGATATACGAAGAAACATGAAGATGAACTAACTACAGTAAACCATAGGTGTTGACGAAAAACGATTTTCCCATTTTAACAAGTGCATGGTAATTCAGTTATTATGGAAAGTAATCTGTTTAAGAAAAAATAAGTTAGCCTCCTTCGCCTTAGTTTAAATGTGTCGAATTTTCAGACAAACATTTTACTTGCGCTGCACCGCGGTGGTACATTCATAATAATTCGAAAGCAATTGTTGTATGCAATATTGCATTTAGAAAATGACACTTGGGCTAAAAATTATAACAGTTTTGTTATTGTGCAGAATCAAAAATTCATAGACAGCATAACATGATAAAATTTACTAGGATTTTTGGATTAAAATGTTAGTATTAGAATTCTAACCTGTTGAATTCCACAGGTCCAGCTGCAGGTCTTCTTTCCGGATAGCTGCTGGCTTGTTGAGGAACGGGAGGGTAAAGATAGCAGCCAGGGCAACAGACAGCACAAAGATCTGTAAGGAAAGGATATTTATTGTTTGATCAGTCAACACCGTTTTTTACCTATTGCAGCTTTATTAGATTCAGGTGCAAAAGGACGAGGGAAACACAAGTATTTCTTCTTGACCATTGAGCAAATTAAAACAACAGAAAGAACAACAACAAAAAAATTAACATTACTAACAAACAATAACACTAAATATAACAATAATAACATTTTCCGTGATAATTATGCAAATTATAAGGGACTCATTTGCATGATTTATAAATGTTTATATTCTCCACTTAATGGCAATCTCATCTTAAGAAAAAATGCCATTCTAGCATTATGCGTAGTAGGTCCTGATTTGAATAAATTATGTTTAGTTTTGTTCACCTCCACAGAACTTTCAAATATGACAAGTATCAAATTCGCAGCAATTCCAAGTATAAAATTGTTGCAATTTCCAATCAATTATTAAAAATTAATTCATAAGTTACATAATCAATATCTGCCAATGAATATTTCATCATTTCAAGTTTTTGGCACACCCTACCAACTCACTTAGTATCAAACTAATTAATTAATTCTTGACATATCTTTTTGTCCAACAGACAGTCAAACGCAACTAAAAATGTAACCTCCATGACATTTAATGGAGGTAATAACACGCCCGTGTGTGTTTGTGTCCGTTGGTATGTCTATTTCATCCATGACCCTTAGGTTGGGTTGTTATGGATTAGGTTTGGTTATCTGTCCCACAGGGAGAAAATCTGTATCTGGAAGGGCTCTCTGTTTGCACTAGTGTTTTTTTTTTTCATTTTATGACCACCTTGACAGCTGACAGCTAGTGTTGTTTCCGCCGTACAATAAAGAAAGACTAAAATACACCATGGTTAATGAGGAGAGGTCACCATTACACAATATCTAAATATTCTATGAAGGTGTGAGATCTCGTAATTCTTGTTGCAAATGTTCTAAAATATTACGAACCAGACAGCTACATTACCTGAAGTGTATCAACCACACAGCTGGATCCAATGAAGGACAGAACAAAGGCCGTCATCCAGGCGTCACTCTTCTCCTTCCCCCAGTCCATACTGTACAGGAGGACGAAGAACGCAGAACTGGTGGACACCAGGAACACGGTCACCCACGCCACGTACTTGGCCAACCGGAAGAGATTTCTCCGCAAATATCCTGTGGCGCAACAAAAATGATTTAATGGCAGCAGCTAGTTTTGTGTTAGATAGAGAGAGAGAAAGGATGATACATATGCAATACAACTTACAGCTAAAACCTGTTACTATAGGCTCTTCTCATAACATCACAGTGACACATGATAGGATAGACCATTTCACTCCTTGCGACACATCGTATGTTGGAAAGGTGATATATTTTAGATATTTGTACACCGTACTTAGGTACGTACAAATGTGTTTTATTTTTTCCAGGTCAACATGAGTATAATTTAACAATGCTTGTGCTACTACTGTCCCAGTCCATACCTTGTTTAGATGGACGGATCGTCATCTCTGGAGTGTTGACGGACAGTGGCGCCCCCATGCGGAAGGTTGCAGGAGCATCACATTGACGGGAAGTACGGTCAGCATAGTCATGAAACTGATGTACAGCTCCTATGTAACAAAAATGAAATAACAAATCAATACGTTAAGTGTCTTAACAAACATTACAGTCACTTAACCATGATGCATCTAATAAAACAAAACGCAAGAAGTATGCATATATATCAAGCATATAAATTTACATGGAAATGTTACCTCAACAGTGAAACGAACAAATCCCAGGTTAAACACCCTTGCGTTAGCAGTTGTATTCTCTGCCTTGTACCACATGGCGCTGGCCAGCATCATGGTGTTCACCAGAGTAAAGCAGCAGGACAGACGCTGGGCCTTGGTGAAGCTGGACCCTACAGACATCATAGAGTGAACAATGCTCATTTGATTCGCTTCCTGTAAACTGTATATCAGTATCTAAATTGGGAGCTAAAAATTGATGTTTAGATGGAATAACCACGCTCTATACAACACTGCTATTGATACTTTTTAGTCCTTTTGGTAATTTCTAGTAATCAGGAAATTTAACTCCGCGTACTGTTCCTATGTCACAAGGAGCGACTATCCAGTCTATCCTGCCCCCCCCCCCCTTAAAAAAACGGGAATCGAACCCTAAGCGCCAGCACATAATCCAACTCAGTAACCTCTATACTAATAGGTCTGGACACGTCGGACGAGTCAGTAATAGCACTTAAACCCTACTGTTACACTGCTACCTCTTTTCTTTTCAACTCGTCCTCGAATCTGAAGTACTAGGAAACAGTCATCCATGAGTCGGGAGTAAAATGAGAACCCTGCCCTCCACCTCGGGGATTGGACCCGGGGGGCCACCTCACCAAGGCCAACGAACTAACCATTAGGCTAGCCATTAGTGAGTTGAGAGCACTTGAATCCTAATGTTACATTTACATCACTAAAGCACTCCGCACAACACTCAGAAATCATAAAAAATCCTGAATTAACATATTCATTGCCTAACAAGGATACTTACCAGGCGCTGCTACAATGGCAGATGCCCACAGCTGTTTATCATACAGTACATCTCTGGTTGCTTCATTGAAGACGTTGGTAAAAGATGTCAGTTCCGCCTCAGTGCTTGAGTGAACCACCTTCTGCACTTCACCGTCCCCTTTCTCTGTCGACAACCAGTCATTGCAGATGAAGTAAGATCTGTGAATTGAAGGAAGCACACCGGTTTAACGAGGCATCGTTTGTATATCATTCGTTTTCTATCCTCAGCAGTACTACATGTTTCTTTCGAGACAGGAATACAGAGGAGGCTAATAAAACAAACATGCCAACATCGTTTTAACCATGATGCAAAATTTTCCTCCCGTTGCTGTCCACATTGGAAGAGACAGATGAATTGTTAGATGACAAACCCAACATGCCAAGATTAAGTAAAGTCAAACTAACTTGAGCATTGAGACAAGTGTAGCAAAGAAGCCAAACCGACGGAACAATAAAACAAATGCCGGTTCGTATATGCATTGTACGTCTTACACAACATCCTTTTCTACATCTCTGACGACAAAACTTCCGAGGAACCAGGATGCCGTGTCGCCTTCCCCAGAGTTATCATGCCAGATGTGCAACAACATCACTTCTCCAAGTGACTCTCGCACAGGCATGACAAAATGCAAAGTACTTCCACGAACCAACTCCTGTAATTACCAATGACAAATGACAATCATAGTTGGAATGCTGGCCTATTTTTTCTAGAGTTTCCATTTTGAACTTGCTTTGCTACAATGCAATATTAGATATGAAAAACGATTACTATGAACTTTGGAATACGGACTATAATTTCTTTCGTTTTATTTCGTTATTGGCCTTCAGTACCCCGCACAGTTTTTGTCCTTCATGTATGCAACCAAATTAACAAGGTGACAAGGAATACACACCAAAAACGGTTACTCAAGCAACTGGATATGATTTTGGAAACGGTCACTGGTTGATGTTTCAGGTATATCCTTTACTCTTCAAACTTACTGGTTTTCAATCATTGTGTTTGAATGACATAATGTTTCTTCGCTAGTGTGTGCATATTTAGATAAATAATGTAACTAACATTCTAATACCGTATAGCTCTTGTATAACACGTCCTGCAAATTCGTGAAACAAGTTCAAAGGAAAATATGTAAAAAAAGAGAAAGTAACAACATCACCGACCTCTCCTCCTGGGTTGAGCATCTTGACTGGAGATGTGGCCTCTGACCCGAAGAGTTGGAGTCCGATCCGTGAGGTGGTCCCTGCCCCGAACATGGACCCGGTGGTGACCGTGAGCTGATAGACGTGAGGTGCCGGCATCCTGTCTGGCGGGATCAGACTCACTTTGGACAGGGGCTTACTCTGGTTGTTCGCTTCTCCGATCACTCCAGAAGTGGGACTGATCCGGGAGGTGAAGCGACGAGCCTTCTGAGGATTTATGAAAAAAAAACAGCTTATTTAGCTTCTTCAAAATGGTCCCAACGCAATGAATCTTTAACAAAATACAATACAAAATTATGAATGTACTTATGATGTCAAGATACTTGGTACAGACTTTAAACCTATAAAATGTACAAATGAGTATTAAATCGGCAGACTGTAGGGCTTTTTATTTTGATTATGATGCTTTTTAAATTGTATTTTTTTTCTTTTCTCGTGCTTTCTAGGGCCTAAGTTTATTTATGTCTTGTTTGTTCTGTAATGTTTTATGCGTTGGTCATGACACCAGCATATATAGCTGCTTGTGTCCCACGGGTATCGTATTGCTACAATTCCAATAAATCAAATCAAGCAGCTCAAACATACCCATAGACGGTGAAAGTCCACGCACAGAAGAACCATGAGAAGTAGGTACAGAATGGTCTCAGACACCACGATGGAGAACACTACGGAGTTGTCGCTCAGATGGAGGAAGTTCTGGAACGCGTTGATGAAGTTGATGGAGTTGGGAACTGGAAGAGTCATGGTCCCCACAGAAACTTTCCATTCCGACATGTGACACCTGCAGTTGATGGCTCCATTCTTCAGGTTAATGGTGGCCTGTTTCATGTGAAATGTGACAGAAATCTGTTTTACCCAATTGTGCTGATAGCTGGAATATTTAATTCCTATTAATACATAATCATCTTTGTCCATATATTATGATATTACGCCCGTGTTTTGATTTACTTTATATTTGGAAATGGTTTAGGGACATTATGATGGCGTACGCTTGAGGTCTTACTAGTACTACCCTTGCTTCCCTTTCTGTTGTCTATTTTGCTCAGAATTTGTTTCCATTATTGTTATTTCAAATATCAGAAAACCGTTCATCGTTAAGAGACCATTCAAGCTACCCTGTGGTGTCCTTTTGATAAGTAAGTCCAATACCGAGCACACTAATTTGTATCGTAGTGGTTACAAATGCCTCAGTTTGCTATGGCATTTTTTTTTGGGGGGGGGAGTAGGTTAAATGATATGCTTTGTTATACCATGCCGTCTAATTTAATTCACTTACATTACAGTCTTCCATCATCCATTGTTTCTTATTTTCCTTCCACGACGAGCAGCCTACAGCTGAGAAAGATAGTTGGTAGTCTTTCTTGTCCTGGATCTGTGCGACAGACTGCTGACCACTGCCAGAGTTAGCCCTCCCTGAGAATGGTAGACATGTGATATAGATTAATTTCTGTGGCCACAACAATAACCTTAAGAATGTGAAATGGAAACAAAATGCATCATAGATTTTGTATGTTTCAACGAGGCTCGTAGTACATATATAAAGTGGACGTACCTAACTTCTGAACTCCAATATACAAAAGCCCGCCATGGTTAGTCGTGTTGGGAATGAAGGAGGTCGAAAAGTTTGTTCCCTTGAGCCAGGACTCATAATCGTTTTTCTGGATGACTATCTTCTCGGAAAACAGTTCTGCTGTTGGAAGGGATCCGTGCGAGATGTACACGTGAAATATCGCTTCTACATCCCACCAGTTCATATGCACAACAGGGATGACATTATCGTGTGGAACACTGAAGGCGTGGTACACCATAGCTGTGCCGTTACTGTTTCCTTCCGTCGTACTTGGGGTTTCTGTCGTTACATGTGGCCGGTCGGCTGGCTGTACTGTCTCTTGGAAGGGTACAAATGGCATGTTCAGTTCAACCTCTCTGTTTTTGCGACGGATTCCGGGTTCCTTTGAGTCTACAGTCAGGAAAGTCACCGAGGACGAGATGTTTTGTCCTCCTGTTGATTCACTCCAGGAATATGGATTCCTTTTGAAAACTGCCATCTGTAATACAAACAGTTTTTCTGTTCAATGTTCCTAACAATATAATGACATGGCTTCCATTGCATACTCCACTTGGCATTTTGCTTTTGTCAGTCATATATGTGCGTTTTTTTTTCAATTTTTACTAGAGTCTGATGGCCCCTCAGTAAAAAATGGTAAAATAACCTAGATCTTTTAACAAATTGACAGAAAAATACCTGGCGGAGTCTGTTGTTGCCATAATGCTCGAACTCCAGCATAAGCGGCCTAAAAGAAATCGTGAACTATTGCCTGATGATTTACTTACGACGACTTTTAAACACAGCCATGGACACTACGAAGTAATTGAATCTACTTACCTTGACATCCTGCATGTGGTGTGTCTGAGCCCCGGTTTGTGTGGATAAAATATTTGCCACAACATCAGATGAGTTGAGAAGGAGGTCTTTGTCTGAGGGAGATCGTGCCACATCGACAGAGACGCTTTTTGTTTCAAAGCGTGCGTGATATTCTCCACCCTCGGGCTGCAGCGCCAGCAGTGTGTCGGCTACCTGGTCTAATGATGCCACGATAGACTGCGACGCCTTTTGTTGCTGAAATTGAATAGAAAGATACTTAATGTTGTCAAAGAAAGAATATGGATTTTTGCATTCGTATATGGAATAAGTATTTTTGCATTCTTTATTCACACATAAAGAAATTATAAAACCCCATATAAAGAAAAAAAATATGAAGAGTGTGCTTGGGTAAGGCAGAGACAATTTTGTCTATCCGAGGCTTTCCCTGAAACCAAACGTAAACAAAGCAGTAATTTACAAAAATATAGAATATAATATAACAATAACAATACATAGCTGAATAAATATTTCAATTAACAAACGAAATAATAACAAATGGTAACAATTAAGTAAATATATGATGACATAAGTAACTGATAACGTAATCCAGATGAATAATTGCTTATTAACAGATGAACGGAATAGAAGCCAAGCATAATTAAGGTTTGAGTAGTAACAAGTGCAATTAATTGCCATATTGGGTTAAGAGACTTAATGTTGGTGAATGTAATACAATAATTCTAAAGCATGTCTATTATACAATATGGCATCAACTAGATCATTACCATGCTTTGCTTTTCCTCCTGTTTTTCTTTCAACATCTTCAGCTGCTGCTTGGGGGAAAAGTCAGGGTCACTCATGTCGATGACATCGCTTTCAAACAAGTTGTCAGAATAGTTTACAGTCTGTGTTTCCGGTTCCGGTAACATATCTACAACAGCTGACGCCGTCTGCACCAAAGCTGAAACAGTAAAATGATAGTCATTAGAAACAAAAGACATCTGCTCCATTAAAAAACACTAACCTAACTACTTATTCATTATCTCTAGCTTTATATCAGAAAGAAGGAGACGCTTAGGGGACAATTCAGAGGCATTAAAAGAAATGGGTTTTGCACAATTAGTTATAATAGGAGTGAAATAGGAAGTACAAGAGTGATGCAGATTCAGGTAGGATTAATGTAGGATGATGAATTCGAAAGGAAGAGACATCAGGTAGTGTAAGCAGAACTTGATATCGTTATTTGTAGGACATGTTACTAAGAGTGGCACTGAAGGAACCCTGTATCACTGAATGAAACCTGTATGTAAATGAGCGAGTCATTTCCATTTTCGTGACTAGACAAATAGCATCCGTAACAAATCAATTCTACAGCCAATATGAGGATGTCGTCTATTGCTTCGTGTCTGTGGACACGCAATCTATATGCTGGGAGCAAGAGCGTAATACTATGTGAAAAAGAGAGTAACTGTAAATGATTTTACCATCGGCAATGGTCTCCATCTTCTCTCCTGATACACCCTGTAGCCCTCTAGCGGCAGAGGCGAGATTTTCTGTGATCTTCGCCGTAGTTTGCTGTCAAGAAAAAAACACAAAATAACTCTCTGTCATTTCAAAATTGACGTTAAGCATTCTATTCATACACTTAGGTATCCCACATGTTATAATTTGCTGGTATAGATACAAAAAGGGATTACATGTATCTTAGACCGACTAGAATGGAGATTACCAGAACTGAAGGCAGCATCTCTGATTCAGAGGCATCACCGGCATTGATGATTTCTTTGATGTTGGTAGTTACTTCAAGGATGTCGTCTGGTCCTACTACCTCTGGAAAACTCTGGTCTAGGCCTTGGGCGAGCTTCTGAAGCTATCAAATATTACAGGCAATGAAATATTATATAAGGATACAAACATACATACATACATTAGCGGCCTATCAGCAGGTCTCTATGCCATCACATACAACTCTCCAGTTCTAACATTTCATTTCGTAAGTATTCGAATTCTATGCCAGTGTCTCTAGTTATAAGGTATCGGTAAAAGTCAGACTTCTACAGTGTACTCGGCCCCTTGGCTTCCAGAGAAGGACAGAAGAAACGATTTCCTGCTTAGCTCGATAACAATGTCCCGCAAATTTTACCCTGCGGTGCGTGACGTTTTTAGACAGCCTCGGGAGACCCACATATATTGTTTAAATAGTAGCATGTTGTGTTCATGATATATTTGGTGCCCTTCGCAGTAACGTAGTGTAAGTCCAATCTAATTTGTTTTGGAGTTGACATGTAAGTGCCCATGTCTCCCCACCATAGAGTAAACAGATAAAGATAGTGTATTAAGTATATCGATGGAACAAGTGTAAGAGGTGTATTTGTTTTGAAACATGAACTGGTAAACATTTTTACGTAGGGAAAAGGATAAACATCTGAATGAATTTCAAAAAATAATTTATCTTGAAAATTACTCTTACTTTTTCAACAGGATTTTCTGTCGTCCATTCCAGAGGCACGGTGTATTCTTTCCTGTCTGAAATTCAAATTGAAAAATGATTGTATTTCCTTCAAACTTCGATGCATAATACATAATTATGTAGAACATAATGTCGTATGTTAACAATTGTAAAAAGATGCCCCCATAGTTATATCAATGCTTACCTGTCTCGGGCGTGTTTGTGGTCGGTGGAGGATGCGTTAGTTTTCCAGGGGTAGTTTCTGTGGACGAGACCAACATAATACACGATTGTAGATAGCATATGATGTGTGAATAGGCATGGTACATGTATATTAAAACCCAAGAACCATGTACATTTTACTTTATTTGTCGTTATATGCAAACACTTATATTTTGTCAAATAGTGACACATTCATTTATATTCAACACACTCAACATTTTAACACATCTTTGTTAGAGGATTCGATTATACGATTATAAATACCACATGAGGTGATGAGATGAGGCTCGGTACCACTTAATTTACTTGTCACATGTTATATGCAAACACTTATCTTTGGTCAAATAGTGACACATTCATTTATATTAGACACAGTCAACATTTCAACACATCTTCGTTAAAGGATTCTAGTACTAGCTCGTCAGATTTAATAGCTGTTGTACGTATCGAATGGTGAAGTATCTAAAACAGTGTTGAAAAATCTTACCAGGGTATCTAGTAGTCCATTTGCTTGTTGTTGTCACTGGCTTCTCTAAAGCTAAAGTTCTCGCTACAAATCGGTAAAAATGATGTAATCAACGTCAACAGTTTAAGGTGAATGAATTGTCCATTGTTTGCTTCATACATACATGTATACCACATTTGATTTTAACAATTTGATGTACATAAGACAATGAAATCCTGAGAATTCACAAATGAAAAGGAAGGGGATACCCGACCAACGTGGAACCTTACTACATGCCACTAGTCACTACTGTAATCGTAAACAAGTTTGACATTTATCTTTTTATTCCAGCAATAGAATATCAATTTGTATGTACTTTAAATCTGTAAATGTCTATATCATGTTTATATAAATCCACCTTTGGTACTGCGTGCTGCTGTCGACCATCTCCGCTGCTGCGGCCATGTCCATAACGGTGTAGAAGATACTAAAGTAGTCCTTTCATATGTTGTAGACTCTGTCATCGTTGTTTGTGAGTATGGAACAGTGCTGACCACGTCTGGTGCTGTGGTCCCTACATGGAAGTCGAATTGTCAAACGCGGTAAAAATCCATGGTCAGTGATAGATGCCACGAAATGCACACAAAAAGATACAATATAAAGTGCATGAGGCATGAAATGTACTAATTATTTTAGTCCGTATGGGCTAAAATATTGTTTTCCATAATATTCCTCTCCTGTCATTTCTTTAAATGGATTCAATTTCTTTGGGGGGGGGGGGGGGCNCATGACCTGAAACTTGGTGTAAGAGTGTTTTTTTAGCTTTTAGAATTGTTTTATTTTTTTTATTTTTTATTCAGAAACACGATGATTACAAATGAAAAGACATGGACTAAGTGACTGCGAACTCAAGTTAGGTACAACTTATATTCTCGCAGCCACTTTTACAATGAAAGAAAAATATTTTACAAGACATTTAAAAATACATGAGACCTCGCGTGAGTAACAAACCTCCCATCCCAGAAGACACATACAGTTAGAATTTTTTTGTTTGTAATATGTAATTTTGTGTGGCTATTATTTTGCAGTTGGTATCATACGAACAAAGGAAACTTCCGCGAAGAACTAAATATTGTATAGAATTTTCAGAAAGGGTGTTTAAATCAATAATATTACCAAGTATGCTTGAAAGCTAATTGCCAAAAAGGACTAAGCCTTTGGCCAAAAAGGACTTGTTTTATTTGTTTTTGTTTTTATTTGTTGCCAAAAAATGTATAAGATGATAGAGCTGTCCAACCTTATGGGGATTTCGTGAACACTTTTACTGAAAAGCGCTGTATAGGGGTTTGGAGCACTATATGTGAGCTTTGCGAATATTTGGTACTGGAAAGCACTGCATGGGGGTTTCCAGAACATTTACTGAAAAGCATTGTATGGGGATTTCGATAAAATTTTACTAAAAAGTACTGTACAAGTATTGATGACTGCATAAGGTTTTGAAACATGGAAAAGGTTGATCTTGAACAGTCCAAGGAACGATGAGGGAGATGGACTGAAATACTTTATTATGCTCCTAAGTTAATGTGTATCTTTTAAGTTTCTTGTTGTAGCTAGTTTTCTGGTAGGTAGCTTTGTAGACGTCAGATACCATATGATACGTACCTGTCGTGTATGCCATACTTGTACTACCTGAATACGTTATGACCTCACTACGACCAAGCTCACTGACGGCGGCCATCTTGATGACGTATGTGGTTCCTGGTAGAAGATCAGTGATGTTGTATACTGTTCTGTGTCCCTCAATGCTGTTAATTAAAACATGGTATGATTAATATTAGGTGATTTCCCAACATCGCCATCAACATATCACCCTCCCTCTAAGGACAAACTATTTTTTTCAAAAGCAATGCATTTGCACAGCGTCATGTACAATTGTAATAAACTTTGATAATGACCACCACACATGCAAACCCATGCACAACAGTAGATTTTACCTTATCAATGTTCCTTTCGTGTCATATTCGTCCAAAATATCCAAGTCGTAGGACAGAATGTTTGCTACAGGTGACTTCCATTCAAGGAATAGCCATGTGGTGGAGGACTTGGTGATTTTCAGACTTGAAGGTGGATCTGTGTCTAGAGGAATGAGAACAAAGTTATGATAAGTGTACATTCACTATTAGCTAAAACTAGAAAAAAAGTAGCTAAAATATAGAAAAACACATCTAAATATCTCAGGCAGAGTAAGTTGACAAAGTTAGAGGTAACGTAATGTCATCGATTTCAACGATACTCCCATTACTGTAACCAAATATCTATAACAGTTTTACTACAATTTCACAGCTACACATGTAAATGACAAAAAATATGAACGTTCTGTTTTTAGCCTCAAAGTCTGAATCTTAATTATCAAGATCAGATGTCTTAACATTTCCTAAACATTCTGCTACTGAAGATGGTAATTACTGAGCCTCTATACTACGTGTATACGTACCTGTTATAACACTTGTACTGGCGGCAAGGCTCCTCCCAAACCTGCTAACGGCCACCAACTCAATGTCATACCGAGTACCGGGAATCAGACCTGTCACTTCATAGTTGTCCACGTCTCCTGACAACATCATGGACGTACGTAGACCTCTCCCTTCTTCTGTGTACGTTATGCTGTACGCGGTGAGGACTGCTTTAGGTGGTAACCATGAGATCAGGACAGAGTTGGTTGTCTTCTGTACAACGTCCAAAGCCATTGGACTGTCTGTTCCTGAAGAATAAATAGTGCAGTGTACTGTTCAGTTTTATTAAAACAGTTTTCAGCTTCCCATTCAATCAACCTCCACAGACCATTTTTACACCGAATTACACTCCGCAATCCCCCTGGGGACATCCGACATTCTGAAAATTCCCTGACACCACATTATAACACAAAGGAAAGCACAAAAACACAACGTGGATCTTTATTTCTGAGGTTATCAACCTTTGACTTTTCCCACAACCCTCTGCTGTGCTGGAATAATAAGATGACTCATTGCAAAGGAGAGTAATAGGGCTTGCCATCTTAATACATGGAAATTATTTCAAAAGTCATCTTAGACCAGGAAAACACACATTGATGGGCTATTCCAAGTTCTAAACTGTTCATTTAGTCCATAACTAAAATATTCTATACGGCGGAACTGTCCTGAATATGACCCTTAGATACACAAGTGACCCCAGGCCTCTCTGGACAGCTGATGACCACATGAAAAGGCAAATCTTATTTAGTCAACCAGACAACCATGGATGAAAGTCGGCTTCTTCAACAAAATAAAAAAAAACTTTGAAAATTGAGGCTATACATAACATCAGCTCAAAACATTTCCCACAAAAGACTACATTTGGTTTTAGAATGTAATCTCTCTGAACACTACAAACCGGCCTCTTGCCCAGAAATAAAACGGCGTTTTCTTACCTGTTGCCACAGTGAGACTCGTTTCTGGTCCTTCGTTGTACCTGTTGATGCTCGAGGCTGATATCATATACTCTGTAGCAGGACTGAGGCGATCAAATGTCACATCGGTTTGACCTGAGGGCACGAACTGTGTGAACAGGCTCTCAGTGGTATCACTCCGCGTTACCCACACCCTGTTGCCAATAGCGAGGGAGTTAGTCCTCAGCTTCCAGGAGACTGTGACGGAAGTTTCTGTGACGTCTGTCGCCTGGAAGTCCTCTGGTGGGGGCGTCACTATGTCACAAAAGAAAGTGGCGTGTAAAAAAAACAATAAATGGGCTTTTTTAAAAGACTTGAAAGACTTAGACTAAAAGAAGTACCTATGTCACCAAAATACAACATTTTTAATCAACCGCCATGAACCTGACACAGCTATTTATTATCCTTGCAGATGATACGTTGTTCCCACAGAAGCAACAACAGCAGAAGTAGTAGTAGTAGTAGTAGTAGTAGTAGTAGTTGTAAAAGTAGTAGTAGTAGTAGTAGTAGTTATTGTAGTAGTAGTGGTATTAGTACTGTAGTAGTAGTAGTAGTTGAAAGTCAACTAGCAGGGATATACCTCTTCGTAGGGGTTATTCTGCCTTAAGGGATGTCTAGATTATGTAACAGTTGCATAATACACGCATACAATGCCAATATAAGAAAGAAAACAAACACAAAACAAAACTGTAAAATACTGTCTGATCATCACTCTGATGACACGAAGAAAACTTAAATTAAACTCACACGTCGCACAAGTCATCTCCACTGGAGAGCTTTCCTTATACACGCCCACAGCTACGACTGTCACTTTGTACTCCCGGTCAGCCTGGACATCCTGGAGTACTGACCTCTCACTGTCCGGACATACGTTTGTCGTCATCACATCGGAAGGACTGTCACTAACCAGCGTATGGTTCACTCTGTACCCGAGCAGGCGCGCACTCGGCCGAGTCCAGCTGACGACGAGTGAAGTATAAGTCGCTGTTGAACAGCTGAGGGACTGTGGACTGTCCGTTTCTGAAATACACACACAACAAAACTGTGTCTGTTGCTACCAGCTAAACTATATTGATAATTCATACATTTAGCTATACTATAATCATAATTCATTTTTACTGCAAGGCCAATTCCATGGTTTATCAATGAAGACTGTACTACTAGTAGTTCTACTGCTACGTATACAGAAGCTGCAGTTAAAACCATTTTATTAGGTGAATTGTTATGCTTTATTCGGATAATGAATCAAATTATTTACGAACAGAATGCGGAATGCCAAATAATCAAGAACGTTACAAAGATTACCGGTTATGCACTGGCAAACAGTCAATGAAAGGCTTTTCTATAACACTGCACATTTAAAAAAAATGTTACTAAAAACCAGCCTCTATGTATCTTTAAACAGACATTATAGAGAATAGAATCCACTCACAAGGGTTACACTATTTAGTGACCTACCAGTGGCGCCGTCTGTCTGACGTTCGCAATTCGGATGTGAGAGCAGGAGGTTCTTGTCTTTAGGCCAGCAGTGTCCGCACCAGCCCCCACATCGCGCTGTGGCAAACTGGAGAACAAATAACTCTTAAACATTTCAAACATTTTCCCGGCAAACAGCGATGATGCTGTTTTCGAAGATGAAATCTCAGTATCTCTAGCTGCTTGATACTTTCTCATTCATTTTATGTTTGACATACCCCTGGCATTGCGTTATAGGCCAGAGACTCTTTACCTTTCTGTCCTCAGAGATGAACATATCATTCATGGCGATGTAGTTCGGATTTCGTTCCCCCATGACCCAGTGGACGCCAAGTGCCAGCTGTAGTGCAGTTCCCGTCAAATTTACTTGAAACGTCCCCTTGGCACATCCCTGTTTCCAGGAGTAACAGTCACCGGCCTCCGCATAAGGTACATTGTTGTCACCTGGTCAGATACAAAACGCCATTTAAATTGAGACTCAACTTCAACCCCTTTAATATTTATACCTTGTACCTAAACAGCATTTTAAAACATGTTAACAGTACATGCTATGATTGTGCATAGTTTGTGTGGCATACAAAACGTTGTGTTGTATAATGGACAGGCTATTATGAAGCTGCAAAAGCCCATATTATTTGCATTGCAAATTATCAATCAAAAGACATGGTTATATCCTTGCAATACCTACCAATGGTTTGGGCAAATGTGTAGTCATCTTGGATAACCTTGACCCCAGAGTTTTCGAACTTGATTCTGACCTTACTGAATGTCGTGGTACCGGCACGTCCAGAATAAGGATCCTGGGGGTGGGGTGCAGAGGAGTGGTATTTTACAATTTACCAAATAAAATGTAAAACCTATAGTGCACAAACTGTAAATTATCACATAGGTAAATAATATGTAGTGTGTATAGCACAAATTCTCGCCACCCAGGGCAGTTTGGAGCCCAATCACAGCAGAGTTAACAACTGGAGACTGATGCAGAACATGTGAGGTAACAATATAAGAGTTCAGGATTTTTTCATCATTATGAAACTTATTCTAATGGGAGCTCAGGATTCCCTGAATCAAATCGGTATTAACAGGCCCCAATACAATACAAAACAGACATTTCGACGGCAAATGAATAAATCAACATAATTAGCCCCCCCACCCAAACACACACCCAAAAAAATTCCACGTTTCAGTGGAAGGGCAGCTGGAAGCGCGATTAAGTCTGGCTTCTCTTTTGTTCATCTCTCACCTGTAACGGGCCATCGCATTCTCCTCCAAAGGCGTCCGTCAAACGATCAGCAAATACAATGGCGTAGTTACTTTCCGGACCAGACGGTAGAGACAGGAACTCTTGCGGGGTTCCGGACGCCATGTTGTGGCAATAGACGCGGATGGATACATCTGTGCACGTTGGAAAAGGGTAGACTGTGTACTCTCCATCAGTATCGGCAAGGTAGAGGGACTTCACTTCCACGCATGATGCAGCCGGCGCACAAGGCAATCCTGACGCTCTGAAGCTAGCTGCCCTGACGCTACCTGTGAGGAAAAACACACCTAAAGTAAATGTTGTTGCAAGTGATTACACAAAGATGTTAATACAGTTGGCCAATATGCTTACATACACCAATATATGAGGTATTTTTGAACACCAAAACATGCCGTGAAATATGCATTCCATCGCATATACAGGTATGAAATCGTATTGTCATGTCATGTCTTATCATACAATATTAAATTTTGGCCTGTTTTGGACTACCCGTAAAACATTTGAAAATAAACAAATAGTATTGAAGGGTAAATTCCGTCAAGATAAAATGATATCATCTTCTTTACAGCTTCTTAAATGTTAGTTGTTTAAGTTAAATTAATGATTTTTAAAGATGTAGACAAACATATATCACCCAACATCCCCGATTTTTATTTTTTTTAGACGACTAGGATTTTATTACTTTCTGATTTTTATTATAGTTTTGTTGACATCTTGGATGTCCATCGCGAAGCGATGATAACGTCAATGGCGTCGAAGGTGTGATCGCAGCCCAAATGCTGAGGCACAGGTGCGTCGCATACTGGCCATACGACGTTGGCGCTGGGGTCGGGTCTCCTTCCCTTCTTGTCTCGACGTTTTTTTAAACATTTTTCGCACTCGATTGCTCATAATTAAAAATCAAGGTCTTTTTTCAAACATCCTTAAGACACGATTCTAGACAAACCCATTACGGTCATTTTGAGCCGTGAATGAGACATGTTGGACTCTCCATGCTTCCAATCTTAACCCTAAACAGTACATCTGGGTTCCGCGTGGACCCCAGCACTATATATTCTGTAACATTTTTGTTTGTGTCTAAAGATTTTTTCAGAAATTTCAGGTAATTGTCACACACAAATTGTCCCTCAATAGAGTGCTGAAAACTTCGTTTCCCCCATTTATTTTTTTTAAATTTTTATATCTGATTTTCTTTTGAGGTCTGCGCGGATCCCGGCCGGCTTTCGATCGTAATGCATACACTAGCGTTTCTACACATTACTTTATTTCCGTTTGTATTATTTGTTTTTATGCACTTATCGTATGGCCACCAAATTTTCAGAGATTGGTGTAGTAAAAGAATTAAATTCTAACAACTTTGGTGTAATTATGACGTCATATGACGTCGGAGCTAATAATATGGTCCGCCATGTTGGATTTTGACAAATGACGCCATCAAATTAGCATATATTATGATTTTTTATGATTTATCTTAAAATTTGTATTTATCTTTGCTTATCTTTGATTACGTAAGATGTCATTAATGTTAGAAAGGAAGTGTAATGTAATATAAAACCCAGAAAGTTTTTATGTTTCAACCAAAATTATTGATATTTAAAAAAACTGCCTGTCAGAAACCCGTTGCCATGGCAACACAGAAATCATTAACTAATATCAATTTTTTTCCAAATACATTTTAGGAAAGACCACCAAATTTGATGGTTCTAGTGCAATCCGTTTAGGCTGAATATGGCTTAAATCGGGTATTTCTTCTTTTCTTCGCCAAAAAAGGTCAAAATGATTTTTGTACGTAATGTGGACTCAGAGGTTCATACATCAATTTGCAAAACAGTTGAGCTGGTAGCATGTTGATAATTTCTAAAACTGTTTTGGGGTCCGCGCGGACTACAGATTAATCAGTCCGGGAAGGTGTACTCACTGTACTGTTAAGGGTTAGGTTTTCACGCATGTCATACGGCATTAGTATGACGAGTGTTTATTTAGGCTGACGGGTACAAATATTGTTTGTTCTTCAAGGTCACCCACCCAGGTCACCCACCCAGTAGCTTCGTTTCATGTTCCAGCCCACTACAAAATGATTGCAGACGTGTACTGTCCAGGAAATGGGTAATATTTTTGAAAAGGTGGATTTTTTTCTGTTAGGAGGTACCCAGGTAAAAAGGGGCCGGAAAACCTAGGATTACTGTAAATGACCGCGGGTTCCCCATTTCGAACGCTGTTCGGTTCGAGTTACGTCAGATCGAACATTGTTCGCGTTTTCTACAGCAGGTGGGGAGATCGGGGTCCAAATTTGACAACCGTGAGTAGTGGCAAAGAATTGTACAACAAGGGGTAGACGGCAGCCAGGAGTTTTATGTTTTGTTTGGAATTTTTCAGCATCCCTGACTAAGCGTTGTGGTGGCACTTCGTCAGCAGTTTGGCCTTAACATCGTGCATGTTGTGTTCGTCAGGGAAATGTATCTATATACTAGAGAGGCCGACATTTGCTTGGGAGCAAATATAGCATATTTCAGTCCATCTCCCTCCCACGCAAAAGTGGACTATTCCAAACTTACCCCAGTGTAAAACTGGCAGAGATTCTCAAATAAATGAATTACATTGTATATAGTAGCTATGTAATTGAGAACAAAGATGCAAGAACAAGCACATTGAATCTCGAAAGCTTTACTAATCTTCTTACAGGTATGCAAATACTAACAATGATGAGATTTGATACATTTTGAAGGTCTTAGGCACATAAAATTGAATGTGTGGGTCATTACCCACGACTTACGTGCAATGTGACCTCAGGTGACCCGCAATGGAACACGTGTTCCATGGCCAACGGCAGATGGAACGTGCCATTCTTTAGATAGAACATGGAACGGGTATAGCACTTTTGGCCCTTTTTTTGCTGAAAATAGCCATTAAAGTCCCCCAAATGAGTCATTTGGAAGTGGTGTATGCCAAATATGTGACTGCTGTTCTGTAGACACATGTTCAAGGTACCCTTATACCGAATTTCAGATCATTTGGTTGTAAAACCAGGGCTCAGGATCCAAAAATCCATTTTTTGGCGAAAAATGCCCCAAAAAAACTTCATAGAAATTTTTCAAAGGCATGTATCAAAAAAATGAAAAAAACGCCTAGGGGTATTGGCCCACTCTACCTCCATGCCAAATTTCAAGTCATTTGGCTGAATGATGGCGGAGTTGAATCCCTTTGACTGTTTGGCAGGAGAAGGAGAAGAAGAAACATCAGAGAACACAATATATTTCATCCATACCATGGTATGGACTGAAATATAAAAATACGTTCCCAAACGTGCAGACGTTGGATATATGTATACATAATGGTGGTCAGTCACTGGTAAATAACTGACTACCATTATATTTCTATATCTATATCTATCTATCTCTCTCTCTCTCTTCTATATATATATATATATATATATATATATATATATATATATATAGAGAGAGAGAGAGAGAGAGAGAGAGAGAGAGAGAGAGAGAGAGACACACATATATATATATATATAGAGAGAGAGAGACAGACACACACACACACACACACACACATAT